AGGGAAATACAATTTCTCCTTTGCTGTTTTGCACACTAGGTTGACTTCTGAATTAAAGTAAATAAAGCACATTATATAAATCATTGAGTGCACAGAGGGTTTGTCACCCAGCACCAAGATTTCTCTGTGCACTGGGTTGAAAATAAGCCCCGCAACCCCTGTGCAGGTGCACAAACCTGAGAGAGGTTAGAAAACCACAAGAAAAGTTGCAGAGGCAAGTGGGTATTATTTCTTTTATTATTTAATTGACTGTTCTGGCTGCAGCATCCTTCAAAAAGGAAAGGAAGGGTGGAGGGAATACATCATGCATCTCCCCAAATGTCTCTTGCTCAGTGCTGGGCGTTGGGGTTCCTTATTCCCAGAATAAGGAATTCATGGCCCCAGCTTAGTTGGGTGTTAGCAAAATGGAAAGTGCTGCTATAAACCAGGATCTAACACACTAAAATTTCACTTTAGATTAGTTTTAGAAAATTAGGAGAAACGTTGACTCCTCTCTTTGCTCGTTCAGCCTCATCCCAGCCAGCTGTAGCTCAATCATGTCCAGAAATATCATTTTTGGGACATGTTTCACCCCGTTATCATATCCTGAAGTGTAATATCCTCAGCGTTTGGGATCTGGCCGTTGATTATTGTATAACTCTCATCCCATCTCTGCTCTTACTCTCGCAGTTTATATACTAAAGAGACACGATCTCTTCTGCTGTGCTGAGTTATTCTACATCTGCTCAGAGCTGGGTAAGTACAGCTCCTCAGGGCTCTATCTTCGGGTGCAGCCCTGAGTCACTGTTACTTCTTCCAACCTTGCTATAAATTCTCTGTCTGGCTGCCCAAGAGAGAAGCAGCAGCTTCCTCCCAAGAACTGGGGTTTTTAAACGTTTCCCAGGCCACGAGCCGCATCGCAGACGACGCAGCTTCTTCTTCCCATCTCTGATCCACACTGAGTCAAGTGCAGAAATGAAGGGTGCTTCTCTGTGCTGGGTGCTTCTCTGTGCTGGGTGCTCCTCCGATTCCAAGGAGACCAACTACAAACACACCTTTCCAAGCTCCTCTCTTTGCTTTTTTAAGAAATATAAATCAAGCAACGTTGATTTCATGAAGCTCCAGCAAAATTTTCTGTTATTTTTGGTACCATACACCATTGATACTTATGTCAGCTGCACATAATGGGTAGTAAATATGGGTTCTAGTCACACTATTGTGCAGTCACAACCTGGCAGATATCAGAAGGTATCAGATAGTTAATAAAACTTTCACTTTTACGCTTTCTAGTATTATATTTGTACGGCCATACAAACCCTTCTAGGAGCTGTGTGGTCTCATGCTGCTGGTTTCTTGCTCCCCACACCTTTTATTTCACCTGTGAAACGTCACTGAGCCTGGGTGTAATAATTTCTCTTTCCTCCTTCCTATTCCCGCAGGTGCTGGGCGGCTCAAGGTGGTGTTGAAAAGAAGGTGGTGCTGCAGTAACAAGCTACAACAGGTAAATCTGGACATCTCCCTCCAGTCCTGGGCTCTGAGTACCTGCCCCGGGGGCATTTATCCCCGTTCTTGCTAGATTTTGGGATGTCACTTCACCCTTTGCTGCTGCAGGATTGCTCCTGTGATGGCTGCAGGATGGCAACAGGCTCTTTCACCCATCGACAAGGGCAGGAGGTCCCGATTGCAACACATTTGCTGTTAAAAATTTCCTAGAGATCCACCCGTGCACCCATTTTTTGGGATAATTGTTGGAGTCAATCCATTTAAACAGAGCTTTGCTCTTGTTCCCGGCAGCAAAACCAAGCAACGAATTCAACAAAGGGTTAACGGCGGCCGCTTGTGCCGCTGCTGCCTTCCCTCTAATTGCTTTCTGCTCCTGCCAGGCGGAAGTTGGAGCAGCAGTTCAAGTTCAAGCTTTGCCTGTGTGCATGTGGACGCTTTTTCAGCTCGGCAGCGGAGGGCAGGAGCCGGCCGGAGCAGGGAGGGTCCGGTGGGCAACGAGCAAACCCCTCTCGCCGGAGCTACAAGGATGGCTCAAGGCTCCGAGTGCCGAAATTCCCACCTCTATTACTACAGCATCAAATTTGCTCTGTCCACCTATGCCACCCTCTTTTCGGTAGGTGCTCTGGTTGCTTTTCTGTCCTCCCTGACTTTCCCCCCCACTGTACCACCCCTGCGGGCTGGATTCTACTTTTCAGTGTCAAAATTTCCCCTTCCAAGGCATCAAATCTGTGCATTAAAAGCTGGTGTTGTGAAGCCTCTTGTGCTTGGCGCTAGCTGGGTCCAAAACAGGCAATCTTGGGTGAAACTGTGGGTTTTGGTAAATTTAAGAGCACCTCCCTGGGACTGCCCATCCCCAGAGCCACTCTCACAAATCCTTTGAGTCACATTTTGGATATTTGGAGAATAAACACAGAAATTTCATGTTTTGATCACACAATCACGCGTCGGGTGGCGTTGCCAGCTGGATCCCCCCTGCCCGTCTTGGCCGTTGCCTTGACATCGTTCAATAGGGGCGAGGTGTGAAAGCAGCCATCGAGTGGTGGGTATTTTAGCCAGGTTGGTTATTTTAAGAGTTAAAAATAAAGCTTGTTTTGGAATCATTGAGCTACAGTCGGGGTGAGGGCTTCCCTGAAACCTGGGCAGTGCAAGCACGTGTCGGAGCAGGGGCGGGGGAAACAAGAAATTCCCAGTCCCTTTATGCTCTGTGCATCCTCAATTAATGCATCAGAGATGGGACTAGCACCTTCCTGGGGTTAATCTTGCATAATCCAGTCCAGATTTACAGATATTTCCTCCTGAGGTTTAATTAATCCTCTTTGCCCCGTGCACGGGCTGCCTGCTGGGTGTGTACATCAGTATCTATATCTAATTGTATAGGTGTAATCACAGAAATCCCTGTGCGAGTTCCCAGGTGGGCTGTGAGTGGTAAACGGGGTTACAAGCAGAATTTGAAAATGCTTTTTATTTCCTTATTTATTTATTTTGTAGTCAATGAGCTCATCGGGAGGGCAGCGCTCACCCTCGCTCGCTGGGGATGGTGAAGCCTGTTGTCTCACTGCACCAAATGATTTATTCCCACCCTAGGGCGTGAATGAGAATAAGAAAAAAAAAGAGGTTTTTTGGTAGAATATCTCACTGGTTTCTTTGTGGCCTGCTGGGTAGGAAGGCTCATGAGGGGAGAGGAGACTGGAGTATCCCCTCAGGGTGGCCAGGATCCTCCCACTGCACCCAGCGAGACAAAAAAAATCCAGATTTCTTAACTCGTTTGTAGCTGCAGTTTGAGTTTTTGGGTAGGGACAGTGCAGTATTTGTGCTTGCAAAATGAATCTGCAGGAAAACCCGTCACTGTGGGTTTGGTTTCTCTGAAGAGCTGAGTTTTGCTTGGTTTGACATTTCCCTGAATGCCTTTAAGGGATGGGGAGGAGGTGCAGATTTTTTTTCTCCGGACTAATCTGAACCCAGGTCAGGGCTGCACTTTGCAAACGTAGATTGACCACGGGATGAACCAGTACAATCTCGATGCCAGATGGTTTTTAATTGCTATGGCATTTTAGTGGCCTCAGTGGGGCCTCCTGGCATATCCACCAGCAAGAAGACACTCAATAAATTCCTGACAACTCAAAAATAGCTGCAAAAAAGCCAATTTGAATCACTGCAACCCAGCCTGCCTTCAACCCTGGGACGATCCTCACGCGGGGATGTTGTCCCATCAGTGGACCCCGCGGCTCCTGTGAGCTTTCCAGCTGCCTGACCTACTTCTGGCCTCATTTGCACACGTCACCGCTGTGTTAATTCAACGGTGCTGCCGAACCCGTCAAACCCTTGTTAACCAGACATGACTGGGGCTGGGTTTCTCTCTGTCCAAATGCACGTGATAAAATATAATTGCGTTGGATTTTCTCACTTGTTTTGCATGAAAGCTTTGAAAATTTAACCCCTCTGAGTAAAAATTGAGTAGGATAAGACTTGAGTTGATTTTTATAAGGGCAGTTAATGATAAAACAAGGGGAAATGGGTTTAAACTGGAAGAGGGGAGGTTTAGATGAGATATTAGGAAGAAATTCTTCACTGTGAAGGTGGTGAGACACTGGCCCAGGTTGCCCAGAGAAGCTGTGGCTGCTCCTCCCTGGAAGTGTTCTCGGCCAGGCTGGATGAGGCTTTGAGCAACCTGGTCTAGTGGAAGGTGTCCCTGCTGCTGGCAGGGGGGTTGGAACTAGATGAGCTTTAACGTCCCTTCCAACCCAAACCAGTCTGGGATTCTATGATTCACTGTGAAGCATCGAGGAGGTTTGGGGTGAGATGCATCATGGTTTTCTAGCGTAGGGTTGTCCCAACCTGTAGAAAACTGGATCTAGTGCTTCTAGATCCTTTCCAGTGCTTTCCTGTAATGAACACACTTATTTATAGGTGGGAACATCATTAAAGTAGCGTGGGATAAGCCAGAGAGTGGCCTTAAACCAAGCACGGAGCAAAGGCCAGAGAGGTTTGAGTGTCGTGGGTTGGACCGGCTGGTTTTATACAGGCAGATTTAATCCTCGTTGTGGAGGATTCAGCAGAGCATAGATTTGAAATTTTCTTTTCAAAAAGGAACACTTCTTTCCTTTTCTTACTTTTCCCATAAAATTGAAAAGTGCTTTTTTAATTGACCCTTATAAAAGCGTAATTTGTTACGTTCCTACGTGCCGTCGGCAGTTAAGCATTATACGATTTATTTAATCGATGTATTATTAATCCTATGAGTCTATCTTTTAATGACTGAAAGCATTCAGCACTTTCTATATCGTGGTTTCTTGCCTGCACATGGCAAGAAAACCTTCTGAGGAGGAACAGGAGAACCTTAGCTGCTAATTTGAAGGCAGATGGGTCTTCAAAAGCTGGGAAGAACGATCTTGCTGTGAGCTGGGGATTTGAAAAACAAGAGTTTTGCCTTTAGTTTTGCACCTCTGGTCATCCTGGATGGAGAATGAAGTGATGCCCCATCCCCTTTGCTCCTCCTCAGACCAGGGCTCTGACTCACATCATCTGGCTGCTGGGGTCTGCGTGGGCTTGAAGCCACCGTCATCGTGACTTGGTGTTCTCGAATAAGGAGAAATTTCTGCCTCGCGTTAGCGCGACGTTGACTCATCCAGTTAATGCCGTTCAGCCTGGAACGAGCCGCGTCTGCCGCCCGGCCCTTGGCAGCCTCTCAGGTCGCACTGCTTTGGCTGTGTTAACGTCCCCTTGGATTCGTGGTACCTGTTTGCTCTGCATCTGGCTGAGAGTAACTTTTGGGTCTTGGACAAAGGGAATGTGGCATCTCTTAGGGATTTAGTTGGGTTTTTAGGTCAGGGTAGGACTGTGTATGTCTCTTGTTAGCACTGGTAGGACCGTGCACGTCTCTTGATGGCATCAGGTAGCTGCCTCTGTGCCAAAGCCAAGTTGTACAAGGATGGAGGAGTGATCACAAGCACCAAGAAGCCTGTGGCTTGAAGAGAGCTTTGCAAACTTTCCTAACCCACTGTGGGTTAGCTGCGAGCTCAACCACCCGTTTGGCACCCCCCAAACCCTGCCAGCACCATCAGAGCTGTGTATTCTATTATTTTCTGCTCATTCTTTGCCTTTCAGATGACTTCTTGACATCCAGACCTCTAAAAGACTCTGCAGTCAGTGGGACAGGGATTTCTACCAGAGACTTCCACCTTTAACTCTTCTCCTTCCCAGGTCCCCAAATTCCCCCTCCAGCTCTTTCCTTGCGTTAGAAATGCCTGGAGAGGAAAACCAACATCTCATCCCACTAAAAAGAGACCAGCTTGGAGCGAAACAGCTTTGGAAATGGGCTGCAAAGGTGGGGAAGGATCAATCATAGCAACTTATATCGAGCTGAGAAATTCAACTTTGCAATTTTACCCATCCAGGAGTATGGGAGGGAGGGAGGAGAGCGTGTCATGGGGGTCCATTTTGAGGTGGCAGTGGAGGTTGGACATCCTGGAGCGACTGCTCGCTGCTCTCCATCCCCTGCCTGTTCAGCTCCTACAAACTCCAAGAAGCACTAAAATCAAGTGGGGCTGAAATTAAAACCTGAAGGTGATTTCTTCCCAGCTTGTAAGAGGAGAATTGATACAGGACGTCTTCACCGCAAGGTCGGGTGGAGTTGCAGCCACCTCCTTGGCTGTCCCCATGGTGCTGGTTTGATTGTGTGGTTATTATCATATAGAAATAGTATAATTATCCTCTCGTTAGAGAGTAAGTGCAGATTTGCTTTTTCTCTTAGATGCATTGCAGAGCAGTTGGAATTACCGGCTGCTGTCTATCCTGGTGTTTGCCTTGTATTAAGGTGATCACCACACAATTAATATGTAACTACAGAGGATTTACCAGCAAACTTCATTATGTGCTTCACCATGTCATCAAGTGTGGGTGGTAGAAAAGAGTTGTGACGCCAAGAATCAAAAATATCCATGCTGATTGAATTCACAAGGCAAAACCAAGCCCCCAGAGAAACCCAGTGATGGAAACCAGAACAGCCAGGCTTTGCAAGGGGTGATGCAAACTTTTCCTGCTGCTCTTGTTGCTCATCTCCGGCCGAAGGGGACGGGATAATCAGGTTTTTGATGAAATACATGGTTATTCCCCTTACAGGTTTTTTTTTGATGGTGATGCATTGCTCCTGGCAAAGACTTTGATATCGCTGATTTGCTTCGAATCCACTATTTTTTCACAGAAATGCTGCTTTTCAGGGAATGCTGGCCTTTCTCCTCAGCTACTTTCCATCCTCTGTCACCCATCTCGCAACAACATCGCTCCCTGCTCATCCTTCCAACCTCGTTATATTCCAGCAAGCCCTCCTTTGCAATCTGCCTTTGCTGGGAGATGTGCCAGTGTATCCTTTCCCTGCCTCGAGGTGTGTGTTGCTTTGCAAGATGTTTTCTTGTGCTTTGAGCTACTTTGAGCAGAAAGGACTCTTGGGTTTAGTTTTGGTTTTGTTTTTTTTTTCTCTCTCCAGGTCCCTGAAAGGAGGGTGGAAAGAGGTGGGGGTGGGTCTGTTCAACCAAGGCCCAAGGGACAGGACAAGAGGAAATGGGCTCCAGCTGTGGCCAGGGCAGTTGAGATGGGATGTGAGGAAGAATTTCTTTGCTGAAAGGGTTCTGAGGCATTGGAAGGGGTTGCCCAGGGCAGTGGTGGAGTCCCCATCCCTGGAGGGATTGAAGAGTCGTGTAGACACAGTGCTGAGGGACATGGGTTAGTCGGGGACTTGTCAGTGTTGGGTTTGTGATTGGACTCGATGAGCTTCAAGGGCTTTTCCAGTTGAGGCCATTCTGGGATTCTGTGATTTTGTGATCAGAGGGTGTTTTTTAGCCGGCGGGGTGTGGAGATGGAGTCCAGCCTGCAGCAGTAATCCTTAGCAAAGCAAAGCAGGTTGCAAGGGGCTGGGTGACCTTTTAAACTTGGAGCCAAGCAAGGAGAGAGCCAAGAAATTCAGGTGGATCAGCTCAATATTTGCTTGTCAGTCTCAGAGACTAGTTAGAGTTGCTTGGACATACGTAGCACGCAGCCTTTTCTGAGCCACGAAACTCGAAGCCACGCAGTGTGGTTGGGTTGCCAGCAGGATCTCCTCACGCCGTGCAGAGATCCCCATTGCACTTGTATTTCCCCATCACATTTGCATGGCAAATAAAGAGATGCATGCTCCCCTCCAAAAAAAAAAAGATGCTCATGATGGCACTGGTCGGGGTTTTCCTGGCCAAAGGGATGGCTGTGGTGATGCTGGGAGGAAGGACCAGCACCACTCTCCATCAGCCTCATGCATGCCCCACGCTTTAAATTTGTTAAGGGTACTTTCAGCCCTGGAAAAGCTGTTTTTAAGCAATATATGTGTCCATCCTGCAGACCCTCCTGGGTTTCTCTCCCTTGCTAGCAGGTGGAACCATCCCATGCTCTCTGCTTCATCAGCCCCTCCAGCATCCAGCCCTCAAACCCCCTCTGGGCTTTGCTCTGCGCGCTTTCTGTGCTCTCTTCCCTCAATCACATCACAGATGGATTAATTAAAACAGAGAAAGTGGTTCTGACTGGGGAGGAACGGCGGGGATCATTGGGGGATGCATTAATGCCCACCCCCCACCTTCAAATCCAAATGTATTTCCTTGGACACCCTGTAAGAGATAAACATTAAATCAAACCTCATCCCAACACACCAACCTGGTGCTTAAAATAGAGTATAAAGATGAAACGGTGATTAAAAGCCTGTTATCAGAAATAGGCCTGTCTGTTGCGTTTCAAATAATGAAAATGGCTGTAAAATATCACGAGTCTGAATTTCACTTTCTGAGAGATTTCAGTTCCTTTCTAGATGAGATGAAGCCTGGAAGCAGGCAGTGATTGATAGACATAAACTGGCTACAAAAACCACACCAGAAATAGCGTCCAGGCGGAGTAGAGAAGAAAAAAATCAACTCCCCAAAAAAGCATGTGCATGAAAATTAAAAAAACCCAAAGATTGTGCATGAAAATTAAGGCTTGAATTATTGGTGTGAATTAGCAGGAAGTGTTTGAGCAAACTCATTAGGAGCAATGAAGCCTCTTGGAAAGGTTGGAAAAGGTGAGAAGATCCAAAAGGTCTTAAAAGCAGTGGAAAAGGAGCAGAAAAAGGAATTTTTTTCTCCTTTTTGGAGATGTAGGTTTTTAAGTGTGGATGTCTGCGGCCGCGGACTTTCCCCCCGGAGCCTCCCGCTGTGATTTGGGATGGGGAGGGCTGCAAAAAAACAGCGTGAAAAGGGCTCCAGATGCTTCTCGGTTTCCTCGCTGACCTTTTCAGGTGTCAGCTCCGTGCCAGCTGAGAAGCCGCTCGCCTCCGGCTGCGCCGCGGGGCCGACGGGCGCGATGTGAACGGCTCCTGACAGCTCCAAATGCTTGGGATGGCGTTGTTGGCTTTGATGTTGAAGGAGCTGAAGGGATGCAAATGGCCTTTTTTGGAGCCCTGCTTTATCCCGGCATCGTTAGACTCTCTTTTTCAATTAGAGCTGTTTCAGTGAAGAGGGAGAGGGGGGAGGAAGGTTGTCATAAATAATCCGTTGCTTTTCTTTATGGCACTTTTCATCCAAGGATCAAAAGTGCTTTGTAACGGTGCGGTTGGCTTTGTTTCTAACTGTTGGAGCTGGCATGGGAAGAGAGGGCGAGTGGCTCGCCGTGGGTTTTGGGTGCAAGTGGGTGCTCAAGGCAAATGTAAAAATGATGGAGTGAAATGAGTCGTGCTGGGGATCGTGCTGTCCAAGGGTGGAATTTGGGAGGGTGGGTTGTTTGGGTTCATGACTATAAACTTCTGGATCTGTCAAACCCAAGGTGAGGGCCAAGCTGAACATCCAGACGGAGTGTAAAGATACGGGCAGGGAAGGGGAGAGGAAAAACCTGGCAAAACCCAGCTCAAAGCCGTCCGGCTGGATTGATCACGCCACAGTTATGCATCCTCTTCCCATCCTCTTCCCATCCTCTTCCTCTTCCTGGGAAGAGCAGCCCAGCCTCGAGCAAAGGGGATGCGCTAAGTGCTGACAGCACTCTTTAGGATTGGATGTTAAATGTCCCAGAGCTGAGTGGGTTTTTCTTGGCCATCTGGGATGTCTTTCACCTCCATCTCTCCCTCGAAGCCTCTGCTTTTTCCTCGTTGGTGTCTGAATCCCATCCCATGCTTCCCTTGCAGATCCTCGGCCTCGTGATCCTGTGCGTTGGGATTTATGCTGAAGTGGAGAGGCAAAAGCACAAAACCTTGGAAGGGATCTTCCTGGCTCCAGCCATCATCCTTCTCCTGCTGGGCTTCACCATGTTTGGTGTTTCCTTCATCGGCATGGTGGGGAGCCTCAGGGACAACCGGACGCTGCTGAAGACGGTAAGGCCGTTACCGTGCTCTCTGTGCAGCCCTTGGGATGGTCTGGGTGATCTCAAGGAGGAAAATTAATGTATCCTAAAGAGTCACCACCATGACTTACAGCAACCGTGTGCCCTTTCCTGGATTTACATGCTCCCATGATGTGACTGTTCGGTGTTTTCAGCTCCACCGTGAAGCCAGTGGAGGGGTAACAGGGAGAGGATGTATTTAAATTGCAGAGCTGACACCCTAATTTCCCTGTTAGCCATGGCTGAATGCCTCCCAACATCTGCAGGAAGCGCTGCTGCTTTCCTCCTGAGGTAACAAGGGAGTTATTTTTGGAGCTGAGATCCCATCTCTGGTGGAGCAAAGTCTCCATCATTAAGTTTCTTTTAACCATGACGATACCAATAGAAAATAGATTTGTTTCCTTTTGCAAGGGAGTTCTTAGCAGAGGGAAAAGTTACCTTTGAAGTCCGAACTGGAAGCAATCAGGACAGAAGGGCAAAGCTGTTCACTCCTATGCTGCTTTCCATGGGTTTTGTGGGTGCATTGAGCATCTGACCACCCATCCTCCCTGCAGCTCATCGCCTGCCCTTGCTTTGGGGTGACACCTCTGTCTCAGGATCAGGAGGCTGCAGGGATTTAGAAGCTGAGTTATGAGCTGTTCCCTCCATTCAGATGGGGGCAAAGTTCTTCCATCGTGTTTGGACAGGGCTGACGTCCTCCATGACAGCTCTGTGGGGTCTTTGGCTGCGTCTGACGCTCCCTCGGTGAAGATGTTGCTTTTGGATGAATAATCCGTGCTGGTCCATGGAGCCTTCCCGCCGACGTGCGTGTGCCTTGCATGCTAACAGTTTGCATAACACCTTCATCTCCCCCTGGTTTGAACTGGTTGGTTTATTAAAATCAAACATTTTGTGTAGCTCTCACTTGCTTCTACCGGCTTGGGATATCGCTTGAAAAAATTCCTCAACATTTGCATTTCCAATTAATAGAGATGGGAGCTCGAATTGGAAAACCAATATTGTCTTTGCTTGTGCACAAGCAGGTGAAATTATCGTTGCTTTCCGATACGTCTGGTTTTTATGGCACCTGCGATAGGTGGTTGTTTGTGTGGCGCTTAAGAAGGTTCCAGGGGTGGAAGCGGCGCAGCCAGCGAGCAGAAAAGGAGGTTCCCCATCAGATCTTTTTTGCAGTGAGATTGTCCCCACTTAGTGGATGAGGGAAAGGCTGTGGATGTGGTGAGCCTGGGTTTTAGTAAAGCCTTGGACACTGTTTCCCACAGCATTCTGCTTGAGGAACTGGCTGCCAATGGCCTGGACAGGCACAATCTCTGCTGGGTGTGGGATGGCTGGGTGCAAAGAATGGTGGGAATGGAGTTAAATCCAGCTGGATGCCAGTCACCAGTGGTGTTCCCCAGGGATCAGTGCTGGGGCAAGTCCAGTTTAACATCTTTATCCATGATCTGGATGAAGGGATCGAGTGCTCCCTCAGTAAATTTGCAGATGACATCAAGCTGGGTGGGAGTGTTGATCTGCTTGAGGGCAGGAAGGCTCTATAGAGGGACCTGGACAGGTTGGATCCATGGGCGGCAACCAACTGCATGAGGTTCAGCAAGGCCAAGTGCCGGGTCCTGCACTTGGCTCACAACAACCCCACCCAATGCTCCAGGCTTGGGGAAGAGAGGCTGGAGAGCTGCTGGGGGCAGGGGGGTGTTGGTCAACAGCAGCTGAACATGAGCCAGCAGAGTGCCCAGGTGGCCAAGAAAGCCAAGGGCATCCTGGCCTGGATTGGAAACAGCGTGGGCAGCACGACCAGGGAAGTCATCCTTCCCCAGCTTCCTCAGCTAGGGTGAGGCTGCAGCTCGAGTGCTGGGTTCAGAGTTGGGCCCCTCACTCCAAGAAGGACATGGAGGTGCTGGAGTGTGTCCAGAGAAGGGAACGGAGCTGGGGAAGGGTCTGGAGCACAAGTGTGCTGAGTTCCCTTGTGGCTGAGGGAACTGGGGGTGTTGAGCCTGGAGAAAAGGAGGCTGAGGGGAGACCTTGTGGCTCTGTGCAAGTCCCTTGGAGGAGGGTGGAGAGAGGTGGGGGTGGGTCTGTTCAACCAAGGCCCAAGGGACAGGACAAGAGGAAATGGGCTCCAGTTGTGACCAGGGCAGTTGAGATGGGATGTGAGGAAGAATTTCTTTGCTGCAAGGGTTCTGAGGCATTGGAAGGGGTTGCCCAGGGCAGTGGTGGAGTCCCCATCCCTGGAGGGATTTAAAAGCTGATTAGACGAGGTGCTCAGAGATACAGTTTAGTAGTGGACAGGTATGGTTGGACTCAATGATCTTAAATGTCTTTTCCAACCAAAGAATTTTATGATTCTATGAGATATCATCTGCTCTGATCAAGAGCTGCCTCCTGACCTGCGGGGTTTAGAGGAGTCTCTAAGTGAGTGGACGGAGACATCCCATCCAGGTGATGCTTTTGGTGTTTAAATAGCCCTGATAGCTTGTTTGCTTAAAAATTAATTTGTAATTAATTCCCCATCAACTGAATTTTTTCCTTCTGTTTGGATGCCAAGTGATAACAGTGGCAGTTGCCTGGACTCAGTCATACCTTGAACATAAAACCCTCTTTTTCCTGTCAAAAGCAACGCGGAAAGCTCTGTATTTCTTTGCAGTCTAAGCCTAGAAATTGTTTTTTTGCCAAAGCTGAAGTTATGTTGCTTGTGGTGAACATTTAATCTTCTTTTTTGCTTGTCTGCTTTTAAAGCTGTACAGTAGCGTTTTCACTCCATCCAGGCTTATTCCAAAGAAGGATAAATACTTCAAATTTCTGATAATATTTTTCTTTCAGTGCTAATACTCATGAATCACAGTTAATATTCTGTTTCCACAACCCGGACCGAATTTGGAAGTGGAAAATTGACACATCAGAGGGTTGGAAATCTCATCCTTAGAGCAACCCAGAGCGACAGAAAGCCAAGCTCATTAACTGTATTTCACAGGTTGTCGGCTGAATCAATTCTGCAATGGGCACAGCTGAGAAAAAGAAATAATCCTGCCCATTTGGGTTGGGTTTTTTTCTCCCCGTGGATATAAACAGCTTCACGCCTGCCATGTGGAATAAATAAGGCAGTACTTGTGCAAGTCATCGCGTACAGTAACGCTTGCATCCCTTCTGGCTAGGATCTAAGACAGGAGATGTTCGTCTCCTGTGTTGAAATGTGGTGTATTTCTGGCTGGTGGGTTTCTGGGGTTACTCAGGGCTCCTCACCTGCCTTTAGTTGGCTGCAGAGCAGAACAATTAGCCCAACACTACATTAATTATCTGTTTTCCAGGAGCAGATAAATGCAGTGATATTTCTGATCTTAGAATCACAGACTGGTTTGGGTTGGAAAGGACCTTAAAGATCATCCAGTTCCAACCCCTCTGCTGTGGACAGGGTTGCCAACCATTAGATCAGGCTGCCCAGGGCCCCATCCAACCTGGCCTTGAATGCCTCCAGGGATGGGGCATCCACAGCTTCTCTGGGCAACCTGCTCTAGTGCTTCACCACCCTCTGGGTGAAAAATTTCCTCCTAATATCCAACCTAAATCTCCCCTCTCTTAGTTTAAAACCATTTCTCCTTGTCCTTTCACTCTCTGCCCATGTCAAAAGTCACTCTCCCTCCTGTTTCTAAGCTCCCTTCAGGTACTGGAAGGCTGCAGTGAGGTCTCCTTGGAGCCTTCTCTTCTCGAAGCTCAACAAGCCCAGCTCCCTCAACCTTTCTTCAGCAGAGAGGTGCTCCAGCCCTCTGATCTTCTTCCTGGCTCTCCTCTGAACCTGCTCCAACAGCTCTACATCTTTCTTGTGTTGGGGACTTCGCGCCTGGACAAAACACTCCAGATGGGGCCTCACAAGGGCAGAGTAGAGGGAGACAATGCCCCCTTTTGCCCTGCTGGCCACCCCTCTTCTGATGCAGCCCAGGTTACAGTTGACCTTCTGGGCTGCAGTCACACACTGCTGGCCTAATTCTTAGTCTTGGAGCTGAAATGCTGTTTCCCCCATGGATCTCTTGAGCTTGATGGGCATCAGCACAAAAAGGAGAGCACAGCAGCAGTGAAGCACTTTGGAAATGCTCTTGATGATGAGATAAATAAGTGTGTTCCTCGTGCACGCAATGCACAGTCACACAAATACTGGGAGTATTTGTGGTCTGTGTGGAGGCAAAACCCGTAACACCGCCTCTCCTTGTAGGAAATAGTGTTACAAACTCATCGTGGAGAAAAAAATGCCCTTAAAGACCATCTCTAAGAGCTCGGGCTATGAGTGTGGGTTTGCATGTCCACCTCTGACATGTTGGATGAGCTATGGAGGACTTGCCCACTCAAAGGGGTTGCAAGGAGCAGCCTTAGATTCGTGTTTTCCTGGTGGAGATACAGCTTATCCCAGCACAAGTGCTTTATCCCAGTAGCTTAAAGCAGTTCCCCAGTGAGACTGGGCTGCACTGGAAGGACCATTGCTGCTGGAATGGTTTTACGGCGCCAAATTACTCGATCCTTTCTTGTGCTCCTATCTGCTCATGAGTATATTGGCAAAACCATATGGCCAAGCCTCGACTTCTCCATGGTGTTTATGTTGGAATTGTCTGTGAAATGCATTAACATCTCCATCCATCGCTCAAAAGCGGGTGCTCATACCAGGAATTCACGGGGTTTTGCTGCGGGGTGTCCTCTTGTGCAGGAGCCTCTTGAAGCGTGGGAGACTGGGAGTTGCTTTCCTTTGTAGAAGTTGTTTCACATCAGTTTTCCACACAATTTTACTGGGAAAACTCTTGAAAAGCCATTATTGGTTAGCAAGTTTTGTAATCTGTTCACCTTATCATAGAATAGTTTGGTTGGAAAAGACCATTATGATCATCTAGTCCAACTGTAATTCCACCTTGAGGAGGAATTCAGTGGTGCAGGGACCACAGCAAAGGGAGCTCTGCCCTATGAGCCCCAAAACCAGGCTCAGGACAGACCCTGGAGATTGTATCATGAGACACCATA